TTAATGAATATAAATTATTTTTTATCAAATATATTATATAAACTTATTTATATAATTAATAATATAAAAATAATAATTTATTAAAACTGCTTCTGAAAATAATAAAAATTTAAACACGTTATAATCCTTAAAATTAACTTAATAACCATTTTGTTCTCGCTCATAGTTATGACATGACGTGCGGTACAATCCAATCACAAAACATTTTACACACGCTTAGTGGATGCTTCTGTCTTGTTATCCAAGAGTCAAAAGTAATATGAAAATTAAAATTTTTGGATGAATTTATAGTTAAAAAAATATATTTTAGATAAAAATATTTTTAAAAAATCTTTCAATGAATAAAAATAAGTAATTATTTTTTTCATATAAACTAAATTAAATTCACATTTATTATTGAACCAATTTAAAAAGTAATTGGATAATTTTTATAGTTGAAAATCAAATTCAATAATTAACATTTTGGCATCAGGAATTATTGTCCAAAACTAAATGTTAATTATAATTTTTTATTACAATTTATTATTATGTGCAAGCTTATATAGGTTAATCTTAAGTGGTTGATATATTTTTAACCAATTAAAAAAATAGACTATAGAAAATAATAAATAAAAAAGTAGATAATTTTTTAATTAATTAAAAGTGCTTAACTAAATTTGTTTTTTAACTTGCACAAATATTGAGTGGAATTAAAAATTATTTATAATAAAAATTTATAAAAAATATAATATTTAATATTATTAATACATTAAATTTTGTAATTTTAATAAAAGATTATATAAATTTTTATTCATACAATATTGTGCTTTGTATTTAAATAATTACTTGGACTGCTAAATCACCAATTATCTGAGATAAAAAATGAAGATAAGAATAGAAAAACATTAATAATGAGAGGAAGGAAAGGATCCTGAGCTGGCTCCCCCCTCTGTGCATCTCGTGCTTCCGTTACTCATTACTTGAAATCGAAACCGTTCTCTTTTTTCATGGTACAATCAAACCGGCTTCCTGTCATAGCGCTTCCTTTCTCTTGTCTGAATCTGATCCCTCACGCGTGTGTGCCTCTGCAAACAAACCACACTTGCTTTCCTCATTTGTCCATTTCTTTTTCTATTTTTCTTTCTTTTGGTTGAATCTTGTGTAACGCTAAAACTTAGATGAATGTTTGCTTTATTATTATGATACTTCGGGCGCATTCTGAACTATAATAACGGGACTCCCCCTCTCTCCTCTGCTTCTGAGATTTTGGCCAATGAAAACAAGATCTTTCTTTTTTCTGGTCGGATCTTTTCCCTGTTATCACCTTTCCACCTTTTTTTTTTCGTTTACTTTCTTTTCCTCTGCTTCTTTCCCGCCAATTATAATCATCATTTTGGTGATGTTCAACCCAACCAGTTACTTCATCCAACCACCTTAATTATAAATCAAGTTTCTTCTTTCTCCTTATCTTTTAAATTCTCAATCACACTAATGATTTTACATTTCACATTTTTTATGTTTCTCTCAATTTATAAAGTAATAATATAATATTATATTTGTTATCTATTATCACAAATAATTTAAAAATGTGAGTGTATTTTTCTCATTATTTTATGGTTATTAATGCTAGCTCGCTCCACTTTCTAAATTTCTTTGAATATTTCATTTAAGATGTATATATTCTGTTGAAAAAAAGAAATAAAATTATTTCAGAAAAGAAAAAGTAACGTTAAAATGTCAGAATCTATATTTAATTATACCATCCTTACACTTAAGTAGCTAGTTCAGCGAAATATAATCATTACATTGGTAGAGGTCGAGAAGTACAAAGCATACGACAAGTCAAAACTGATTCATGACAGATGATGATAAATGTATATTGTACGCTGTATTATATTCACACCAAAAAGACGTACATGATTAACGTTAGTAACGTCGCGTATATTAATATTATTATAGAACATATATATTATGTTAAGTGGCATGGTGGGACTGAGAATACGGGAATTTGTAGGAAATGAGTGACATGTCACGTGTGATAATTTGGTCATTTGCAAAGAAATGGCAGGAATCTTGAGGTGATAGGTGTGGGACATGAGTCAGCCAAACAGAACGCGAAAACAAGAAATGCGTGTGAGGATATGCAAATGTACATTCACTAGCAAGCCAGGAAGATGAGGAAACAAATGGTGTTAATGTCTCCTCTACATGTTGCATTTAATCTCTTCAATGGTCAAACAAAGTAAAACCATCATTTCGTACGTTATTTTTTCACCTCTGAAATTAACTATTATTTCCCTTCGAACCAAACCGCGTAACTGTGTTTTCTGACCCTCATGCATTTGGTGAGGTCTTCCACTTGCCTCATCCTCTTTTTATCTTATGCTTATCTCAATGTGCAATATTGAATCAGTAAAGTTACCTATTATGTGTTTATTTTTTACCATAAAGGGAAAACTCGGCCAAAGGTTCTCATTATTGTATTAACTTTCACAATTTTCTATACACAAAAAGTTTGAAATGAGAAAATGGATCAATTTGAGGCCTGTTTGTATATTTGGCAAAACTATTGCGGATTTCTTAAAATTGAAAAAAAAAATCCTTTCAATAAATTTAGGTTAGAAATTTATTTTGTGCCTTAAAATGTGCAAACTTAGTTTTAAAATAGCCATTTCATCAATAACTTAGCACATTTCTGATTTAGCATATACATGTTTTAAATTGGTATTTTTTGAATGTTGCACAGTGTAATTTTAGTAAGTTTGATTTGTATGTGTTGCACTTTGATTTCATGCTATTCAAACACGTTGTTATAAATTTAATTATTCAATTATCTCATAGAAAAGAGAATGAATCCATTCAGATCATGGATTTCTTGATATTTGATTCTTATTTCATGCATCTCACACTTTTTATTAAACAACAATCATTATGTTGATATATATCTTCCTTTACTTCAAAGCGATCAACTTAATAATTCCAGCATGATCTGCTAATTTATTTATTGGCTTAATTTGCATGATTATGAGCATGTGTCACTTGTTGTAATGTTTACAATCCCACCCCTCCGTGCGCATGTAGCTAGCTTGGATTCCTAATATTATATGTAAGATGATTTTAATTTCATTAATCTATAGCAAGTGGCTTAACTTATACAAAACATTTTATAAATGCTATTGTAGTGGAATACAGTTATGTATAGTCTCCATATATTTTAAAATTGGGTCTCAATTGATGATACAAAGCCATTGTGTCAATACTTAGGCTAGAAATTCTCGTTCATTAGTAAATAAAATAAACAAAAACATCTTCCCAGTATCCTCCCCTTTAAAATTAAGGATTAAATATTTTTTTAATGTTCATGTCTTAATAAATTTTTAGTTTTACTTCTTTTAAACATAGGTTTTTTTTCATGAATTTTGTTTTTAACTTTTATTATTTATTTAATTCACTAAGAGAGTACTTAAATGTCAGTTTTCAATTAGTCCATATAAGCTAAAAAGAATTAAAACAATAATTTATTAAAATATTGGGATCAAAACTAATTTTTTTAAGGGATTAGAATATATTAATAAAATATGTTAGTAAAATGATTATTTAAAAAATATGTTATTAAAATATGTTAGACTTAATCTAATTTTAAATTTTAGTTTAAAAAATTATTTAAATTTTATATAAAAATATTTTATTTTAATTAATGTATGTTCTTTTAACAAGGTCTAGAGATGGAAACTTTTGAATGTTCTGATTTCAAAATAAGACATGTAAATGAGTATTTGTTAAAGATCTGCTAAAGATTTAAAATAAAAAAAATTAATTTTAATATGTGTATTCCTTAATAAATAAATTTCTTCAGTATTAGTTGGCAAGCAGAACAGTTAAAACTGATGTTGTTTGGTCAATAATTTGAACCTGGCAACTTGATTACACACTAATTAATACTACTAGCAGTTAATTAATGCAATGGTAAATAAGCAATCTGAAGAAATAAATAAAGAAGAGATGGGTGAGAAGGGAAAAGGATTGTAGAAAGACGTGAAGGTACTGGTGGTGAGATTGATGATTTTAACTTTGTTTGTTGGCTTTGAATTCATATAATTTCAGTTTCCTTCGAAAAAGCAAAAGGCTTCACAAAGAGACAAACAGATTCTGGTTTTTTAAGCTCAAAGCCCGAGAGAGGGTGCAGAGAGCGCAGCAAGAAAAAAACAGCAACACCCAAAACACCACGCATTGCATTTCTTTAGTTTGGTGACAACCCACACGAGCGGTTCTCGAACTGCATGCACTGCACATCATGGACTTTTCTAGAGAGAGAAACCCAAACCCCCCCTTCATTCGTTACTTTTTCTTCCTTTTCTAATTGTGTCCAAGAATTATATATTATCATCTTTAATAATTTTCAATTAATTAATATTGTAAACTAATAGTATGTGCAAATTTTAATATATTAATAAGGCCTTAAAAAAAGTTATAATTTATTAATTGTTTAATGCATATTTTTAAACATATGTTAAAAAAGTATTCTTTTTATTTTTCGTTCTCACAGAGAGAGACTGCGAATCAGTCTCAAAATAAGGACCCCTCCTGATATCATTTCCTTTCTTTCTTCACAATGAAAAGAGAGAGAAAGATAAAAACATAGTGAACAGAATAGTGTGGATTTGCATCTTTTCTTAACTTTTTGTTATTGCTGCCTCTAATGCTCCCTTCCTTTCTCTCTCTTCTATGTTTCAAAATTCCAATTCCTATTTCTCTTCTTTAAAACGTTGCTGTTCCTTCCCATTCTTGTAACCCAACCCCACCTATCGCCCTCTCTCTTCTGTGATTCAGTCTCACTCAAGCTTAAAAGCTTAAGAGAGAGAGAATGAAAATACAATAATGATGATGCTATTAAATCTTCTTCTCTTCTGATTTTCACACCCTTTTCTCTATCTATCATCTTGTAACTGTTTCCATAACATTTCTATGCTTCTGGCATTGCGTTAGTTCCTAGGGGAGAGAAGAACCCGTTCTGTGGTTTCAAAGTTGAACTCTCTTGGTTGTCTTTAATTACTCTTGTCCTTTTTGGTCTCAATGAGTTCACTTTCACATCACTTCAACAATGGTGGTGAAGGTTTCAGTAGAGACATAAGTTTTTTCCCTTATTCTCTTCTTTTGAGTTCACAAGCTTCTCCTTTGTCTAAGACTACAAGGTTCATGAGTGATGCTAATGGGGTACAGGCTCCAAAGCCTGAGATGGGTCTACAGATTTTGAGCCCTCCAATGTTCCAACCACAAGAGAGCAGGGGAACAAAGAGACCCATCGATGAAGGGGGTGGGTTCTTAGGGGTTGAGAACAAAAATTTGTCTTTGAAACTTGGGGATGAAGTTGAAGCTAAAAGCTCTGCTTCAGGGAAAATTGGGTACACCAAACTTTGTGCTAGAGGTCACTGGAGGCCAGCTGAAGATGAAAAACTTAAGGAGCTTGTTGCTCAATATGGTCCTCAAAATTGGAACTTGATTGCGGAGAATCTCGACGGAAGATCAGGTAATCCACACCCCATTTCTAGAAAAATGCTAAAAATTCTATATTTGGGCTTAATTTGCTTTAAAGGTTGTTTCTTTAGTATTATTTCTAAAGTTGAATAATAATATCTTGAGTGTATCTATCATGTAGGGGGGGAAATCTCTGAATAATTTTCACTTATGGGAGATACTTTACTAGTGTCATTGTATGGAAAGAATCTAACCCTGCATGCAACTTCTTTTTTTTTTTTTTTGAAAAAATTGTGATTGTAGGGAAAAGTTGCAGATTGAGGTGGTTTAATCAGCTAGATCCTAGGATCAACAGAAGGGCTTTTTCTGAGGAGGAAGAGGAGAGGCTTTTGGCTGCGCATAAAATGTACGGTAACAAATGGGCTATGATTGCAAGACTCTTCCCTGGAAGGACAGATAATGCAGTGAAGAACCATTGGCATGTGATCATGGCGAGAAGGCACAGAGAACAATCTAGCATGTATAGAAGGAGAAAGGCCAGCGTTAGTGAAACCATTCCGAAAGGTTTGAAATTGACTCTCTCATCGAACAATGCTGCCAGTGAGTCAACCATCTCAAGCACCATTGACGAATCTGCCTCAACTTGCACTAACCTCTCCCTCACTCCCTCTTCAGCCAAACTAACTCCTATTGGACCTTTTGATAAACCAGGTCCACTTCTGAATCACCAAGGCCTTGGATCACTAAGGGGTATGCTTGGTCCTCCTCCATTAGGCCTATGGAATTTCATGTTTTACAATTATTACTTTTTCTTTCATTCATTCATTTCTATTGTTATATATTATATTATATGTTTATGTTGTGGGATTTCAGGTCAATCTAAAGAAAGTGGGGTGGCAACGAGGGATGTGAACTATGACAAGTTTTTTGGTGCATGGAAGAGCACATGTAAGGCTGAAACTGTGGGAAAGCTGAAGGGGGTGGTGGTGGACCAGTCCAATTTTTCAGATTCAAACTCAGAAGTATCAGTATCTGAGTCAGTTGCCACCAATAGGTCCAATCTCTCAATTTCTGGGGAAAGTGAAAATGTGGGTGATAATAAGCTTAACATGCCATTCATTGATTTTCTTGGAGTAGGAGCTACCTAGCTAAATTGTTGATACAAATCTTCACCGAAAGAAACAAAAAGGCTGAGGAGGAGTTAGGAAAGTGAGGGCACCGTTGGGTTGGGTGGAATTGGGTCTGCTATTGTGCATTCCCTTGTGTACAGTTGGTTCCATAAATGGCAAAAAGTAAAAGCTGAAATAAATAGAGAAAAAAAAAAGAAAAAAAGAGAGACATAAGTTAAGTAGAGAGGAGACAGGGTATGTATCTGTTATGAACTCATGAGTAGTTATGAGATTAAAAAAAAGTATAATAATTTTCAAACTCTTGGTTTTGGACTGTTGTTCCTGCGTCTGCAGAAGCTGAGCTTTGTTAAGCTGTGGGGCTTTTGGCATTTTGTTATTCAGAAGCCAAAGTGTCATGACTTGGACTCCTCTTTCCATGAATTAACCGACCTGTTTTGAATTGAATTGCTCTTCTCATTGCTGCTTTGTGTCTTTGGTTTTTGTGCTCTTCTTTGTGGTTGGTATGAGGAGTTTGACCATACTTGACATGCATAGGCAATTATTCTGTCTTCACAGTTTCATTAACGCTTTTTCAACGTCTTTTTTTCATAATTATTGAAACTAGTTGTTTTTCTTCATTTTTTTATATTCTTTTTAAAAAGTTGAAAATATTGTTTCCTTAGTTTTAGCGACTGAAGTTAATATTTGAAAATTATTTATTATTATTAACTTTTACGATTATTTTATAAATAAATAATCAGTTTTTTTATTAAAAAATCATTTAATCATCCACTAGACATGTCAAGTACAAAAAATCTGGTGGGGGAGGGATCGTTTTCTGCGAAACGTGACATAGGAGTTCAGCTTTGGCGTGATTGTTCCGGTCTTTTGAAGTAGTGCTTTAATCAAATAAAGGAGATTAGGCGTGGTAAGTGCCAAAAATTTGGTGACTCAGAAAATCAGTTAACAATTAATTTAATTAATATATTTCTTTTAGTACATTCTTTTTTGAAAAATATATTACTAATCTCAACTCTTAAAATTGAGTTTAAACATTTAAAAAATATTTATTATATTCAAAATATAATACATGTTTTATATTTATAAAATTTTATTATTATTATTATTATTATTATTATTATTATGCTAAACTTAAAGCAATTGGCTACAATTTAAAGCAAATTATAAATTCAGATGATTTTACCCTTGATGTGAGTAGTTGAAATAGAATATCTAGCAATTCATTATATATAGACTAAAGAGTGAACTATGTTTTTATTATGAAAAACGTGATACAATAGTTCATTATGATAATTTATCCCCATTTACATGTCACATGTCCATGCAAAGATAAGATATATATGGATGGATGTAAATCCAATTGTATCAATGGGTTAAGAATAGTAGGTTTCATACCCTTCTCTTTCGGTTACCCAGAATCATACAAATAGGATTATCTACTTAAAGTTGAGAGAAGAAAATATGGGTAGGTTTATTAATTACCAAAAACATTCTGTATCATTCTTTTGGGCCTCTATCTTAGTTCCGAAAAGGTCCAATTGCTTGGCCTTTTATATAATGGAGCAAAAGGTTATTGGGTTTGTTTTCTTCTTGTTAAGTGCAAAACTCTAGTTGTAGCAATAAAAGTTATTAAATTCATCAAGTCAATTTCTTGTAATTTTCTTTGTTAATTGATAGCATATAAATTGTTTAGCTTTTATTGGGACACTGTTGATTACAGCCTACAGGTAAAGTTTTATTAATTTATTCAGCTAAAGCAATAGTTACCAGAATAATTAGCACAATTCTATCAGTAATCTATACATTTAAAATGAGTTAAGTTTTTTTTTTTTTGCGAGTGTGTTTGGATATGTTAACTGGGATTTTATTTTTTAATTTCATAATTTCTTTTATATTTTCAATTTTAAAAATAAGTCTAATCCTATGATGTTTCAGTAATTTTATGTTTCAGTGAAATTTTAAGGTTAAGACTACATTCCTTTAAACTCCAATCATCTAGAGTGGCCTTAATTTTTTTAAAAATTGAATAATAAAACAAATTCACACAGCATAGGTTTTTCAAATATAATGTTTATTGTTTTTGGGAGATATTGTAGTTTAACAGATAGAGAGAGAGAAAGAGAGAGAGAGAGAGAGAGAGAGAGAGAGAGAGAGAGAGAGAGAGAGAGATTGTAGAGAATAGAGTAACGTTAAGAAGGAAAAATAATTTATTGTACGTTAAAAAGTAGAGAGACAATTTAATTAAATAAACCTGGGAGAAAAGCAGTTTAAAGTATCTAGAGTGAAAAAATGTTAATTTAGGAATACAAATGTTTTAAAATTAAGAAAGATAATTAACATCTATTTGATTAAAAAAGCGTCAGTTTAAATATTTATACTGATAATTAGTATTAGATAAGAAGCTAACAAGGATAGAGATATAATGAAGCGTATCTTTAGGAGATTAAATTAAATCTATATAGGATGTTCAAAATTAAATTTTAGCAACAACAACTCATTAACATGTTTTGCAGTGAAGAAGTTAAGTGATCTAGCTATATTTTCAAAATAATCAATCTAATTTGTGCATGTTTACTTTTATAATATTTTTAAATTCTTTAATCGATGTCTACAAACACTATTAACAACATTCTAAAAATAAAACATAAGGCAGCACATAATAAAACAATGCATTACTCATGAATAAGTCATAAAATTGGAGCAGTGTAGATCAAATTCACAAGCTTCATAGTTCACTCAAATCAAAGCAATTCTAGCTGGAATTGATTGAAAAACTAATGCCACCATTCACAACTTAGGCCCTTGAAATTAATTAAAATTGAGGACTTCCATTAAAAAAATTCCATAGACATGCATATCGTAATCCCCCCTACACGGATGTCTAACCTCTTTCCTGATCAACAAAATCTATAATCCTTAACACCCTTAAAATAATCACCTCAAAATGACTCCTCTAGAACACTGAATCTAACACACAGATACAAGGTATAAATTAGTATTCTTGTCAACCATTAGAACCTTTATATCCTCACATGGTTTTTCTAAGTTGGTGTGCCCCCTAATGTTTCTCAGATTATTAAAATCATCAAAAGAATCCAACACTTTATCACAAACATCCGTCTGATTTGCATTGGTTATGTTGGTCGGTGAGGGTACCAAGTTGCAGAATCATTACAATGTGTATTGTTCATGCCCTTCCATTAAAAACTTATACTAGTTTTAAGTGTTTCATAAATAACAATTTCTTCTTCTGCTCACCGTGCATTTATTATATAACAATAATAATATTTCTTAATAAAAAATATCAAATATTAAGATAATTTTTACCAGTATTGTATTATAATTTTAATACTATCCCAAAATATTTATATTAGTAATTTATTTTAATTAAAAAATATACTAATATAATTTATTATTAAAAATATTAATTTATCATTAAATAATTTTTTAATTGTATTTGACGTTCATCTACAAACAAAAATGAAGACGGGAAATGGAAATATATAAATCCAACAAAGTTGGCTTTGCATTAAGGTAAAGCTCCAAAACAACGGTTTATAGCCCAAATTTACGTAGACTCCGAAATTGTAAAATAAAATAGTAATAGTGTCGTCTAGTGTGTGTTGATATGCGCACAATAGAAAAATATAAAATTTATTCAGTCTTTTATCCTTTGATACAATTTAAAATTTTAATATGATATATTTGAGCTTTCATTCATTAAACTAATTATAGACACATAATGGAATTCTTCTTATTTAATTTGTAAATATATAAATATGAATTTTACATATTATTTATTTCTTAAATAAAGTGATTTAAAATATTATGCAATGTAAAATAGATATTGTAAATTTATTTGAATGCTTAAAAAATTATTTAACTTAATTTAGATTAGTCTAGAGTTCAAAATAACATCTAAATATTGAAAAATTAAAAAAAAAGATAATTAAATATTTTATTTTTACTTCTCATGGTTGTATTAACTATTTAACACCTTTTGTTCACTAAAACTAGGTCAAGTCAACAAGTTTGATAAAATAATAAGGATTTTTTTTTTATCGTATATCTATGTATATACGAAGTGAAAAAATTTAATACGTTAAATTATTTTTACAAAAGCATTAAAAATTTATCATGTTTTTATATAATAAATATTTTATTTTAATAAAAATATTTATATTTTACTTCGTGTCATGCATAAATAAACGCACGTATTTTCGCTTTTAATTATTTAATAAATCTTTATTTTATTTAGATTTTTACTATCTTATGAAATTATTTTTAATTATTTTTACAACTAAATAGTTAATTAATAATATATTAACAACTAATTTTTTTTAAAGGATGTAAAAATTAAGATTTAATTGTGTTTCTTTACCACACAATATCAAGAGAAGTTTAAAATTACAGAATTAAATTTTATAGAGAACGTAGCATATGCATGAACGAGAAAGAATTCAAATTGTGAAGTGAATATTAATAATGATTTAATTTTCAACATAAATGTTGTGCGATTAGATGAGGATGAATTTAAAAAGGAAGTTGATTGAGATGGACCTTTGTTGGTTAAAACTTATGAAGAAGAGAATTAGTGAAACATAAGAGCTGATAAAGGATTATAACAACTGAGAATTATTGATAAGAGACCAATCATAGGCAAGGATGTGACATAAAAAGAGTTGATATTGGGCTTTCTTATGGATCAGACGATGCTAATCATGTATTGAGTTTATGACTAGATTTTTCTCAATTCAATGTTGTTGTTGAGGTGGTAGTACATGAAAAAATTAATGTTAGAAGTACACTTCATAAGGCAAGGAGCAAGAATCACGATTCTAACTCTAAGTTACAGGTTCGATTTAAATTTATAAAAAAAATTATGTGAAGATATCAAAGCTTAGGCCAAATATTTGGGATAAGTATTTTGAAAGTTGCTTGCAATAGAACTTCTGGTAAATCGATTATGAATTAGATTCATGATCTATTGACATATATTGTTAATTTCTTTTAGAGTTGTAATGAGTTAGAGTATTTTTTTTATTTTAAATTTGTGTTTAATAAAATGTTAATATTTAGAAAAAAGAAAAGATTTTAATTGTGCTTCTAATCTCATATTTATCATGTACAATTTAATTCTTTTTGTTGTATTTATTTATATTCAATTCTAATAATTTTTCAATTATAAAATTAATTTTCATATTTCAAAATTCAATCAATGGAAATAAAATATAAGTATGACATAAAATTGATTTATATAAATTTAAAAATAAAAGAATAAAATATTTATATAAAATGACATTATTTATATTTTATTTTTTATACTTTTAAATAATTTTTACATTTTTACTGTCAATTTATATGAATCAATAACAAGTCATGTTTTCAATCTGTTTTTATTAATTATTAAAAATAATTTGGGATGGGAAATTTAATTATAATAATTAAAATATTAAGTATAAATATTTAAAACTAAGAGAAACAAAATTGTAAATAAATTATAGTATAGAGTAAAAGCTCTATAATGTCTAAAATTTTCTGTACTTTTCCTTTTAACTTAGTATATAGTTCTGAGAACTCTCTCCCTCCCTCAATGTTATTTATCTCTTCCTCTGCTTTTTTTTTTTTTTTTTTCCCGAAAGATCGGTTCCACTGTAAGTAACAAAAATAAAATAAAATAAAAACCACCCAGTTATAAAATTATATTTAAAATTTTGCATCTCAATAAAATAATATTTGTATATTTTAATTGTATATATTGAAAGATTTAAATTTATTAATATTAGATGTCAGATTTTAGTACTTATATTATTTAATAGTTATTTATAGAATATGAAATTAATTAATACAACCATTTTAATTTGAAATTTTTTTGTCAAGTAAATTAATTTTACAATTTTTTTAAAATTAAAATTAATTAGTACTTCATCACATTTATTTATTTTAATGAATAATATATTCTTAAAATATAAAAAATATTAAATTTAAGATAAAATATTTATAAATATTTAAATAGTGTAAAATTTAATATATATATATATATATATATATATAGTCATAAAAATATTATAAAATTATTTAACAATTAGATTTGTCAATCTTGTATTTTATAAAAATTATTAAGTGAAATAATTTAATAATTTTTTATTAAATAATTTAATCATAAAATCAATTGTTAGATTAAAATTTTTAATTATAAAAATTATATTTACATAATTTTAGATTAATTCAAAATTGTTTAATTTTTTGACTTTATATACATTAAAATTAATATAATATATATTTATAAAATATATAAAAGTAAAAATCATTTGATAACATTTTTATAATTGTTAAATTTTAATAAAATTTAATATAAATAATTTAAATAATATATAATTATAATTAAAAAATTTGATTGTTAATTTTTTTATATTAAGTTATTAATAATATAAGAATAAATATATTTTACACGGTGTAATTTGATTTGTCTCTCACATATAAATTATACCCAGAAAGAAAAATTTAAAAATTTACTAACACTGAATTTTAAAGATAAACACTTATATCATTCAATATGTTTTTATAGAATGTAAATTAATTTAATTATTGATTTGAAATTTCTTATTAAATAGATTAGTTTTATATAAAAAATTATTAAATACTTTATCAAATTACTTTATTTTTATTGTTAAAATGTTTTTAAATTATAAATGAATATTAAAATTTAGATTAATCAAATTTATATTTTATAATAAAAATATTAAGCGATAAATATTTAAGTTCTGCACTTACTATCAACAAATATATATAATTCGTGCAAAAATATTTAGGTTGAGTTCAAAACAAACTTTAGATATTAAATTGCAACACTACCTAAACATAAATTTGATTTACATCATGCCAACATCCTTCATTTAACATTAAACAAAAACAGTGTACTAATGGCAAAAAAGTGTTTGGGGCAATAACTGTTTAACTTGATATAATAATCTTGTTTTTGTTATATGATATAATAATCTTTATATGACAAAAAAAAATCCTTTATATAAGATAAATTAAATTAAATTGTTAAATTAATTATTATATTAATAGTACATTACATTGATGATACATATCTATTTTTTTGTACAAAAACATCTTCTATAATTATTAAATACATCATATTGTTAAGGTTAGAGTTTTTTTTTGTATTTAAATATTAATATATCATTTTTGTTAAAAAAATTATTAAAGTAGATTGATAATATTTATAATAAAAGATTGATTTCTATTAAATAATTAATTTATTAACGATAATAAGCACAATTTTTAACCGTTAGCGTATGACATTTTTAATATAAAATATGATTAAAAAAATATAAGGTGCTATATTTACATTCTTCATTTTTTCTTCAAATAATTGTGAGTATTACTGTGTGTACATATTATAAATAGAGGCTTACACATTTAATATGTGGGGAGGAATGAAGTGACCGTAAATCATTTTAGAATATTCTCTAATTTTCTTTTAATCGAAGGACGAAATTCTAGTTCAATAGAAAAAAAAAAGTGAATTGTAAGAGTTTCAAAAGATAAGATGTGTCATACTTAAGTTATGAAATAGATGAATAGTGTGCATATTGATTATGAAAATTCGATTTTTACTTTGACTATTTGTATATCTTTGGCGGTTTTCCTTTCATAATCAATTTGATTTAATCAGAAAAAAAAAGTACCTTAAAAGGAAGCATATGGAGTGCCACATTCTATTTATATCATAAAGTTTCAGACGAAAGTACGATTCAGAATAACAGGAGAAACAACTATAATATTGACTAACATATGAAGGAGTTACGAAACCAACCACACACACACACACAAATCTTATTTTAATTGAAAATAATACCTTTGGTAATAATATAAATCCCCTAATCTAGTTTGCATTTCTACGAACAAGTGTTCAATTGAGCACTCCTTTACTTTGTAAGAGAATCACACACAATATATAACAATTGTCATCATTGTCACAAGCGTACATAATTAACTTTTATTTTTATATAATAAACATTTAGCTTGGTAAATTGGGTCTCTAGAACTCATTAATGTTTAGAACACGTTTTAAAGTCAAAAAATAATTAAAAATAGTCTACAATAAAGTATTCACGCTGGGAAATTAACCATCCCTATATTATTCTACCAATGACATTCAAATAGTTCTAGCTAGTTACAGTAGATATATAATTTGAAAGGGAATTTGTTTAAATTGCTTAATGAAATTTTATTAATTTTTTATAATTAAAATCTCATTAGTCCACTTAAAATGTAGTTATTTATCGTATAGGATAGGGTAAGTTAGAGAGACCAAATTATATTAAAACCTTGAATATTGGTAATATTTATGTACCATGAAATTAACTGTATTAATTATTTTCTAGACGGAACCGCCATCCAGCAGTATGCCTCATCACTTTCCACTACATGGGTAGAGCATTGATTAGTGATTGCTGTTTGCATGGAAAGAAATTTTGGAAACTGAAGATTAATTCAATGAAGGTAGACTTCTTTAGGGAGAGACAAGTTGCTGTCTGTATGATCGTTAACAATTGTCAGCGTTCCCCTATTTTGCTCCTTGAGAATGGAATAGATGAGGAAAAGATAGACAACACAAGTCAAAGAAAGTTAGATATGTTTCCAACCAAGTGCTAATTCAAACATTCTGTTTCACTTTTATTTGTTAATTCCCCACCCCACTTCCTTGTCGCTCTAGCTCTCTATGATCTTTTTATATAATGACTGAAAAGTAGCATTTCCATGTGATCTTCATTATTTGTTGTTCCATAATTATTTATCATTATATGAAATTGCTCTTTGGGAAACAATATATAGGTTTTGACCGTTAATTAACACCGCCAGTATGGAGGGAAAAACAGCAGGTACCATGTTTTAAATCAAGTTATGAAAATGTTTTCCCAATCTATTAAGTGCTAAAGTACATGATTAGTTGAATTATTACTTGCAGTCCCATGTTATTTATGTTAATTGAAAGTGAAGTTAATTACTTCCATCATAAAAAACTTTCAGATGCATACCAAAGAACTGATCATTGATATATATATATATATATATATATATATATATATATATATATATATTTGGAAGATACATTACACAACTTGATATATATAGTCTTAAAAAAACATGTTTGTGCTAAAACCAAGATAAGAAGGTGCAGTATATATAATTGCTAAGGTAGATGTTATGGACTTCTATAATCACACAATAAATTATCTCTATTATTTGAGCCACATAGGAAATTACGAAATTGGTAAAAGTTAAAAGGACAAGAGGAGCAGCAAAGGCATTAAGAGAACACGTAAAGGAAGCTTCCATTGCTGCAAAGCTGATGTGTTCATGCTTGTGTTGGCTTTGATACCTGCATAAACCAAAATTTATGAATCATGATTAACATGGAAAAAATATTCTGAGAGAAAGAATCCTTAAATTAACGTTTCTAAGTACAAAGAGGAGAGGAAAGCGAGAAAACTAGGAATTAGTAGTGCATGATAACACAAGAATTTGGAATAGAAGCAGTTGATTTTTGAAGATATGTTGTGTGCCAACCAGAAAATAGCTTTCACCATGCTGCAAGCTCTGCATCAAGAACCCAAATTCATTGGTGGGAACTGGCAATCCAGAGGAATGAACTAACATTACATCTTCTCCAAACAATGTTTTCATATCTATTGGTCCCTTTGGAATATTTGTTGCAATCCCATTGATAAATACTGTGATGAATCCTGAATAATTTGGGATCCCGTATCCTACTACAAAATCAATAAAACAAAAATTATAACATATTCATATTTTGTCATCTAAAATAAGAAAGTCATATTTTAGTCATTTCAATATTTTAATCAGAAGGTGAAGCAAAGCAAGCTGGTCCTATTAATATATCAGCAAACGCTTTGAAACTCTTATTGCCAGTTACTGAAAAACTGCGAAATAAGTGATAGCTTAGTAAATAAAATTTAATGAAGTATATAAACGGTCGCCATGGCAGCTTTTTAATGACGACCACGTCATAAGAGAGCGGTGAATTGAATAATGATAATAATAATGCACTATGAAAATGATGAACATTATAAAATCCTTTAAACTAATAAGAGGTGTATATCCAGGGAGGGATTAACCAAATTACCAAAAAGGGGAAACAAACAAATAACATGAAAATGAGGAAAAAAAACAATAATCTAGGGTTTGGAAATCTTTGTATAGTTTTGAAGAAACCCAAAAAAAGAAATGAGAGAATAAAAAGGAAGGAACAGAAACTGCAACCGGAAAGTAGCCTCATGTTTTTCCGGAAAGTACAATTTTCATGCAATTCAAACACAGAACTATCAAATCAGGTAAAAGGCTGTTACTTTAATCTATAGCCCACCCAAAACCTAATCAGCCGAAAAAGAAGAACTTTTACACACAAAACACATTAAATATACAAATAACCCTTTAATTATAAGTTCTATTTTATATATAGTACTCATTAATTTTAAGCCCCAGGTTGATCTACCCTTTAAAAAAATTAATGTCTGAAAGAAATAAAAGTAAAAATAAACACTGAAAAATTAAAGAAAAAACGTATCTTAACTATACTTTTAATGACTTATATAAAATCATTTTTAAAAAATAGCCAGTAACACAGACAACCATGCAATTTAATTACCAGGGTGGAAGCTCAAATCAGAATCAAGGGGAGGGTACAAAACTGAAGATGCAATTGAACCCTGATCAATTATTCCAGGGAAACCCATTTGAGAAGAAACCGAAAAGAATCCATCTTGGCCACCAACTGCACCATCACATGATGAAGACGAACCATGTAGATCATAACTAATAGAAGAAGAAGAACCAAAACCCATGGTTGAAGCCTCAGTTGCAACAAGAAGATTAGCCTGAGTTGGAATATTCACTTGATCATGTGGAATTGCACCATCAACAACAAGTTGAGGTTGAGGTTGGGGTTGAGGTTGAGGGTTATGTGTTGTTTGATCAAGGGTGGCGGCGGCTTGCTGCATCATCTGGCGCTGGCGGCGGCGAGATCTTGAACGGCGGTTTTGGAACCAATAGAAAACGTTGGCATCACCGACGGTGCCGAATTTCTCAAGTAGTTTTCTTATTCTTACGGTTTCGTCCTTTGGGGGGTTCACCATGCCACTGTTGAAGATGGATTCGAGTATGAGGATTTGTTCTGGCTTTGGAGTCCACCTTGACCGAACCGGTTCACTCTTCTCGGTGCCATGGCTTGGACTAGTGTTTGTGTTTGGGTCCTGTTGCCCCTGATCCTCCATTCCAATGCACACAACAAGGAATATGATATGTTTCTTGAAGCTGAAACCTAGGTAAAATAATATTAGGGATATCTATATATAAATAAATGTACACGGAATACAGTAAACTCTTCTGCTTTATTTCAGGGAAAAGGATTTCTATTTTTTTTCGACACTCAGTTTGGGGTTTACACTTCATTGAATAGAAAGAGATAATAAGTTAAATGATAAATAAGAAATGTGATAAATGATGAGATAATAAAAAAAGAAACTTATTAAAATAGTAATAAATGTAAAAAATATGTATCAAGACGTAAAATTGTTAGAATTAATTGAACTCACAGAGGGTCAATAGCTTAGATAAGTTCGATTCACTTTATATAATTTCTTTAATAAATAAGAGAAAAATAAAAAAAATATATAAAAATGAGTAATGTAATAAAAAAATGTCATATAAGTTATTTTATAAGTTTATTATATAAATATAATTAACTCGTAACGCAATTTGTATTACAAGTTTGTTTGTTTTAACGTTCTACAAACAAAGTTAGCAAGATTAATGGCTGAAAATGTGTGTGGCACATGATACGAAGCATGTTGAATGAGAGTGAAATTTTTTGCTGTCAATAAAATCGATTTTAATTTCTTAACAAATAAGCTTTACGACGTAAAACTTAATGTTGCATAGTAAAATTACACAAGGTCCTTAGCTCTCACCCTCCTAAGGTTTTATATATCATTCTCTTAAGTCTTAATCAACCATATATAGCCCAAGTCAAATTAAAAGGTCCATAGAAATCTTAAGAGATCGCTGTAATGTTGTTAATCATCTCTAGTTCAAGGAAATGCAATTTGTGAGTATATATTTTATCAATTTATTTTAAGAAATAATTGTTCTATTTTAAGTTTTTGAAGAAATTTAAAAAGTGATCGTTTATGAGAAACGATGCATGTCACAACATGTACTGAACCTTAGCACACCAACTTTAACATGCTCATTCTCAAATGAGATATGAAATGAGTGAAGCAACTCTCATTGCAACTCTCATTTTGCCATACAAAACGTGTCTAGAAAAATTAGTAATGTGTATTATTATGACAACTTAGTAAGGCATTCTTTGACGGATCAAATGGTCCAAATCATATCTGAACACTCAGAATGTGTATAAACCAGAGTCCACGAACCGTTGGTCAAACCAAGAATTCCTTCAAGATAGTAATTACGGATGAGCGAATTAATTGGGGGAAAGTGGGGCACCAGTCCCATCCCTCATCTCCTCATTTTGTCTTTTACTTTTCAATTATTTTAAAACTTATATAAAAATCTGTTTTGCTGTATATTTTCAAACGTTTATCTGATCATTCTCGTTACATCCCACCCTTCTTCTCTTAGCTACCAATCCTATCAACATTTTTTCAAAAACAAAAAACAAAAATAAAAATTCATTGATACACCTACAAAACATAAGAATAAAGCTTTGTTTCCTTTATTACTTTATGTATAGAACGAAAAGATATGTATACTAATTAACTGTAATTTTGTCACTCATATATTGCTGTTCTAACAAAATTTTGAAAATTTAAAATACAGTAAAATATTTTTTGAATTTGAAATGGTTTTCAAGTATTAAGAAACCACGCATGCTTCCTTCTTAGTTTTCAAGTAAGGCCATTTTCGTAAGTTCCTTTTTTTAGGGTTTGCTAGCTCTAGAGTTTTTGTTATGATTGTGCCCAAGTTCTTTAATATATATTTTTTATAATAGAACCCGTTTAGGAAAAAATAAATAAATATTTTACAAAAATATTTATGCAACAAATATGTACAAAGTTTAAAAAAGACAGGAAAAAAAATGATAAAATGGGTAATAAAAATTTGTTATAATAATAGTATAACTCTTTACAAAAATGGTAACGCAGAATTCCACAAAATCCGTATTCAAAGCGAAATTCCGTAACATCATTACGACAATCTTCATAATAGGTCAAGGACTCATTGCTTTTGAGACGGTCGAAACTTTATTGTTTATATTTTATTAATTCATTTTTTTAGAATTTAATTTAATTTATTACTCCATACGAATATTTTAATTTGTGTAATAACTAATATAAAAATCATATTTACAGTATATTTTAATATGTAAACGGTGTTATATTGATATTATATCAAAATTAAACTTTTTATAATGTGTTATAGGACATATTATAAAAAAATTATAATTGATACAGGACATTGTAAAAAATTATATATAGTAAAATATTACAAATTTTAATGCATTAATTATATTAAATGTTATAATTTTTAATAAAAAATTATCATTTGTTAATTTTTTCTGTGTTTTTGGATAATTAAAAAATAGTTACTAATTTAAGCTAATGAGCAAGAAGGAATTGATAAAGTCGTTTTTATACTCGTTCACAATGAGATTTAAGAATATAATATATTTGTCATTTTAAATCGGTATTAATATAATTCAAATACATTAGATATGTTTTTCATATCAATTATGTTTAAAATGTCTTTAATTACAATTTGATGGGTCAAAATAATATTTATAATTTATTTTAATTACTTGACAAGGAAAATATCTTCTTTTAACTTTTAAGATATTAAATATAGGTATTTTACGTTTATATAAAAGTTATAAACTTAATTACGTAATTCTATGTGACTCTAGTTACATCTTCTTAAGAGGGCATTACTGTTTTGAATAAAAAATATTATAATTAAACGTAAATAATTGTTCTTATTTTATGGAAAGAAATTGTAATAAGCAAAAGGATTTTCTTAAAATAAAATACCCTGTCACTGGAAATTTTATATTGAGGTTTGAGAGTGATGCATGCTTACTTTTTGTTTTATTTTAATATTGAAACTTCCTCACCTCAAAATAATTAAATTCCAAAATAATATGCCTAGAGGCTACAGTATTTTTTTTTTTTTGTTATGTAATTACGTAAGAGCAAAAAATATTTAGTTTAGAACGAGAAAAATAAAAAAACTTAGACAGCTTTTAAACGACTTATGTAAATTAAAGTTGCTTTAAAAGACTACATTTGTCAAATGTGACTTCTAATTACGATTTCAGGTTATTTCCTACGCAAAAAATAATTATAATATGAAAACTTATTCTTTTTTGTTGCTGTTAATAATCTGACGTTAGTTTTTATTTCACTTTTTTCTATCACGTCATGATTCTTTATTAAATCTGAGATTTTATTTAAAAAATACTGAATCACTTACTGCTCAACTTCTGTTGGTCGGTAAGGTGTAGTTACTTTAAACTATTATGACGAATTAAAAATATAAATTTTTGCTTAATTTTTATTATGATTGATAATAATGTCTAACATAATGAAAATATTTGGACTAACAACCTCAATTTGCGTCTTACTCTTACATATATGATCTAGTTTTCTTCAATATTCTCCTGAAACAGTTGAATTTTTGTTTCTTCTTGTCCACGTTATTCAATCATGCAGAAACATGCTTTATGTGGTTTACGGGGAATTGTTAATTCAAAAGTCCTTCTACACAGCGCTTGTTTTCAGGAACACCATAATTATCGATCGATGAATTAAGGGAAGCTCAGGGCCAAACGAAAAAATAAAGGGGCTTTGACCATGTTACTTATAAATAATGATCTTACACACTAATGGTTTGGTGCTAAATTAACCATCGTTAATATCATTTTTATATAACAAAAATTAAGCTTTGAATGTAAACACTGTATGCTTAATTATACTAACAAATAATTTTAATTGCTTATATAAAAATATATGTTTTAATAAAACATTAACTATAATATTTATACTTACAAATTAATTTTATTTACACAAAATATATATCAACAAAATCACTATAAACATGTAACTATATTCTGTCGAGGTATATATATTTACCGCTGGAGAACATAGGGTCAGAGTTGGTAACCCTGTCGCTTTTTTTTTGTTGTCTCTCTTTTCCACCTCCATAATCATTTCCCCTCAAATTATATCTGCCACATGCATGGCCTGGCTATAAATTATTTATAGGATTATATTAATATTGATTTTTGAAGTTAAATTTATGTATCTAAATTTTTTTTTATTAAAAATATTAATTATATTTATCTTAATATAATAAATATTTTTCAAAATAAAAAAACATTATTTTTAAAATTTTAAAATCAACAATAAAAAATAAAGATAATAAAACTATATATTAATTATATACTTTCTCTAAAACCTTTTAGTGATATTTTTTAAAGCATTTATACTTTTTATGAACTAGTTATTATATATTTTTTATTTTTGTAATAAATGAAATTGATAAAAATTTAACCGCGTTTATTAACTTACATTATTTAGTTATATATATATACCCACACGGATCCCATTCATGGTGATGTTTGGTTGGTGGAAACATTAGTTAGGTTGAACAGTGGAATATGGTCAAAATGGTAAAGGAAGAAATTAAATATATAAGCACAAAAAGGGGTAAAAGAGAAAAGAGTAGAGAAGAAGTGAGAGGAGGTGTGAATGGAAATAAAAGAAAATTAAAGTGGGAGGAGTTAGCTGCTAGCTAGGGTTTTGGGAAGTGCATGTGATGATATGCATGGAAAGGTGGGTCGCAGTAAAGGAAGGAGCAAAAATGATGTTAGAAAGTAATAAAAAAGGAACAATCCAAAGGGTAGGTGAAGAAACTGTGCAATAATTTATTAGCAGTGACGCTAAGCAAACACATGTTACAGTGGCTCTGCGTCTGCAACCTTCCCCTTTCTCTGCAACCTTTTTATAATAAACGAAAGGAGGGAAAGGGATCTCTGAGGTTGGCTTAAACCTCGAACACTTTGCTGCCACCTCACCCTGTAGTTGTTATCCGTGCATTCTGCCATGCAAAATTGTTTTTTTATCGTCGTCTTCTGCTATTTCTTCTCCTTCTTACACACGGGTCTCTTCCTACCATTAATATAACAAAGGGTTTCCTTCAGCGTTAAAGGGTATTACTCTATTTCTTGCACACACACACACACATATATAAA